AAAAACTAGAGAAAAGGATGACTGCGGTAGAGTCTCAACCTAAACAAGGTGGATTAAGACAAGGGAAACTTATTCTTTGATGGCTATGGAGACAGAAGTTCAAAATCAAGGCTGTGCTGCCTCTGAAACCCGGTGGGGCGCAATGGGGGGTGGGCGGGGGCGGGGCGGGGGCGGGGGCGGGGGCGGGGTGCCTTCCTTGTCTCTTCCTAGCTCCAGGTGTGGCGCACAGTTCCCGGCATTCTGGGCCTGCAGTTGAACTCCTCAGATCTCTGCCTCTGTGGCCGCACGGCTTTCTCCTTTGTGGTCCCCGTGACTCTCCCCTTGGATACACCAGACTTAATGGTTGAAAGTCTTCATCTGCTATATAGCTCCAGTTCCATAGAAGATCGCCTTCCGGGGCACTTGGATATACGCCTTGAGGGTCGGGGAGGGGCTAGATAAAAATAGCACACTGAAAGGAACAGGAGATGCAGATACACTGTAATCTCAGTTCTTGGGAGCCTGAGGCAGGAGGATGAGAAGTTTGAGACGAGTGTGAGGAGTGAGGAAGCAGTGAGATTTCCCTTCACAAGCGAGCAAGTAGGCATATGGAACAAACGGCCATCCTGGCTTTTTAATCACAGAGGCTCTGTAGTTCTGTTTTTAGTATCTGAGGTGAAACTCAAAGCTGCTGTCATTTTAACAATTTCATCGCAACATCCTTATTTTGATATGAGGCAGAAACAAAGAAGGGACACCAGAAATAAAACGATACACCTTTTTGATCTGTAGATGTTTGGGTGTGATGAGAGTAGACCACGATGCCTGTATCCCCTTGTAAAACTAGCGCATACATGAGATTTGAGATGAGCGGCCTTGACACCTGCCAATGAGTATAAAAATAGGAGAGTCAAGGATGATACACAGATGAGGAAAAACCTGTGTCAGATGGGTGAGGACACATCTGACGCCCACAGGTCAGACATGCTTGCACGTGATGCCGAGGAAGGCAGACAGCTTCCGGACAGAGTGGAGAACACGGAACAATGATGGAGCCGATGGAGCCTCACAGATGCCGTGGTCTGTATCTGAGGAGCTTAGACTACTGCTCTGATGGGGAATGTTCTTCTGTGTATATATGTGTTTCTCTTACTGGTTAATGGACAAAACACCGATTGGCTGATTGGCCAGACAGAAAGTGACATAGCTGGGCAGAAACTTGCCACTAGCTAACCATAGAGATCTGCAGGTCTGTACAGATAGACAGGAAGTGACGTAGCTGGGCAGAATCAGGATATAAGTGGGGACAAACGGGAAATCGTTCTCCTCTCTGTGGATACGCTGAGCAGTTATCATGTAGCAGGCAAAGGATTTGCAGGTCCAGCATTCTCCAGTAAGCCAAGATCACATGGATTAATAGAAATGGGTTAATAATTAAGACAGAGCTAGCCAATAAGAAGCCCTAGTCAGCCGGGCGGTGGTGGCGCACGCCTTTAATCCCAGCACTCGGGAGGCAGAGGCAGGCGGATCTCTGTGAGTTCGAGGCTGGGCTGGACCGATAGCCTCCAAAACAATACAGAGAAACCCTGTCTCGTAAAAACCAAAAAAAAAAAAAAAAGAAGCCCTAGTCACCGGCCGACAGTTTTTTATAACTAATATAGCGTTCGTGTGCTCATTTGGGGCTGAAGCCTAGCCAGGACAAAAGAACCTCATGTCACACTGCTCTGTGCTCTGAAGATGAAGTTGCACAGAAAACTTAGTTTCCTATTCTGAAACTGAGGTGGACTAGGCAAGGAGATAGATATAAGTTGCCCTAGGAGAACTCCTGCTGGGTAGGTGTGCCAACTGATGGTCAGAATGTCCCTGTGTGGTACATCCATTAACTATATAAGAATCAAGGCTTGGGGTAGGAGAGATGGCTCTGCAGTTAGGAGCCCTTGTTCTCGAAGACGACCTACCTGGTTTGACTCCTAGCATTCATGTGGTAGCTCACAATTGGGACATCTGCCCTCCTCTGCCCTCTATAGGTACCAGACACACACACAGGGTGCACTTATAGATAGATACACAGGCAAAACATTCACACGCATAAAAAATAAAAATGAATCTAGATTTAAAAAAAATTAAGCCGGGCAGTGGTGACGCACGCCTTTAATCCCAGCAATCTGGAGGCAGAGGCAGGCCGAGGGACCACACCCTCAAAAGACTTTGTCTATCATTTGCAGTATGGCTTTGACTTTCTTACATCCCCCCTTTGGGGCTTCTTTGAGATGGTCATTGGGAGAAACAGCTGAAACAGGAGATCTGCTCCACCGTGACGCAGGGGGGAGGAGTCACCTCACCTCATGGATACACCACTCACCTCATAAATGCCGTAACAGGTTTAAAAAAAAAATCTACAACACAGAGTCCAGTGTGCTGCCCCCCTCCTTCCGGTCAGCCCACTGTAATCTCTTGGCAGTGCATGGTTTGCATTAATAAATCGCTTAGGTCTCTTGACCGCATTCTTTCCTTTGGGAAGAACTGAGGTGACACACCTTCCCGTGGTGACAGAAGCCCACCGGGTGTGTGTGTGTGTGTGTGTGTGTGTGTGTGTGTGTGTGTGTGTGTGTGTGTGTGTGTGTGTGTGGGCTTGGGTTCCATTTCTACGACGTAAAAAGCAGCCCAGAGACCACATCCTCTGCAGTGCGGTGGGAAACAGATGAAATGGAAAGTAAAAGGGATCCAGAGAAGTGGTGTGGTGTCCTCAGACCACCCTTACTTAGCCTTAAAGACGCCCACACCATAGCATGCACGCATAATTTCTCAGCAAATAAAATTAGTCTCTACAGAACCCCCAAAGGGTGCAGGCAGGATGCTGCAGCCGGTGGTCTTGCAGTCGGTCCCATCTCTCAGTCTTTTTTTTTTTTTTTTTTAACGAGACAGGGTATTGTTTTGGAGGCTGTCAGACCAGCCCGGCCTCGAACTCACAGAGATCCACCTGCCTCTGCCTCCCGAGTGCTAGGATTAAAGGCGTGCACCACCATCGCCCGGCTACCGTTTACTTTTTTAAAGAGACAATATTAAAGAGTAAATATTGTAAAACAAACTTTCTTTGGAAATGCTTTATTTCCTAGGTAGAACAAAACAATCATCTAACCTCTTCTCACGGAATAAAAATTTATTCAAGGAGCTGATTTTGTTAAAGGCACTGATAACATTCGAAGATGTGTGGGTTTTTGGTGACCTGGGTTGTCCGTGACTGACTCACAGACTTTCACGGTGGCCGCTGCTACTTTTCCGTTGTTCACAGGCCCAGGTGACCAGCAGACCAGAACTGCGGCTTTCACGTTGCGTAACGACACGGGAAGAGGAAGCAAGGGTTAGTCTTCAACGTTCTGACTGCTCCATGGTTGGTATATTTGGGCATAAAATCTCCACTCAATGCTTTCATTCCCTGTGAATCACACATTTGTGACCACGTTTTCATTTTGTGATGCCAGTCACTATGTCCAGCTGCAACAAAATGTCTAACCTCGGTTCATTTCATAGCTGGCTTCCCACCTCAGCGATTTCACACAGATCCTTCTAAACATACCGGTGTTCGACAGAATGAGGAATTTACTTGGGTTTCCTCCTATTAGATAATAACCTTGTGTAGTGATAACCTTTGATTGTTGGTATTATTTTACCTTAAAGCATTAATATCTATAACATATAGGACCGAAGCACACAAGATTAAATTCCTAAACAAAACTTCGAGACAATAAATAATGTCTTTGGAGCTTTCCCTAAATTCCTGTAAACTCTCTCTGTCATCTCTATTCATTTAATCATGGTATGGTCATTTTCTTAGATGAAGTATCGAAAATGACCAATACACACTCAAATGTTCAGCTTTCCTAGGGAAACAATTTTAAGGACGAACGCTTTTCCTCTGGCTCAAGAGAACTTCCTGTGCACTTCTCTTTTTAGTTTGTTGTGATGTTTTGGATGGAGTACATGAAGAAAAAAAAAGCATTTCAGGGGGGCCCAGGTAATTTTTCCTCCTCCTCCTTTTTTATGCAAAGCCAAAGTTTAAATGGGAGCTTCTTCAATATTAGCCGCAGCTAGGGATCTGCCTTGACACCTACTTGCTTCCCTCGTGGTTCCAGCTGTTTTTCCCCAGGCGCTGGTTTAACTCGAAAGTACTGGGAAACCCTACTACTCATGGACGAATAAGAATGGAAAAGGGAAATGTTTTATGGCATCACTACAAAACCGGCCCCGGTCCGCTGAGCACCCTTATGGCCGCCAGGAACCCCTGCACAGTCTGAGAATCACTCCCATCTGTTTGGTTAGCTTCTGCAGACGCCAGGGACCTCTCCCGACAATCACTTTCGTGCAACAAAAATAACGAGGAGAACTAAAGCTAAATGCACTTCATGCTGATGAGCCGACTAAAAATAATGGCTAAGTGGCATTTAAAACAAAAAACCACTCACGCCTCCACTTTGTGGAACCATGTGAATACTCTGACCTAATGAACTAAAGACAGGGCGTGTTTCACAAATTTAAACCCAGACTTAGCATCTTGGGCAAACCCTAAAACCTCTCAAGACTTCTTGGCCAAACCCTAAAAGCCTTCTTGAAGCACACACTTCTGTGGCACGTCCCTTCAACTTCCCTATGGCACATATTCTTTAAAAAAAAATTAAAATAATTTTCTACGGTGGGTCACCGGAAGCTCGGGGACCGTTTTTCCCAGGCCCGGGATCGCCGAGCTCCGTGGACTGCTCGGAGGTACTGAGCATGCGTGGGACCCGCGGCTGCACGGTAATCTGCTGCGTTAGATCCGGCTGCCACCGCCGTGGTGCGAGCAGGGCTGGGGTGGGGTGGGTGAGAGGTTCTGCACCGGGAGCTCCCGCGTCTGCAAACCCACCCGGGACGTTCGTCTCAGCCGCCCCGCCCCGCCCCGCGCGAACGCACTTCCCTTCCTGGCAGGAAGGGGAGAGGCCTCGGGACGAGCGTGCTCGCCCTCCAGGCCGCGCATGCGCCGTCCTCCCCGGCGGCTCGGGAGCGCCTTTCCAGGGAGCCGACGCTGCTCCCGGTTCGGAGTGCGCCTGCGCGGTCGCTGGGGCGGGGGGCGCTCTGCACCTCCTCCGCCTCTCCTCCTCCCCTTGACGGCCCGTGGGGGGCTCCGGGCCCGGCGGGACCATGTTCACCAGCACCGGCTCCAGCGGGCTTTGTGAGTAGCGGCTCCTCCAGCCTCGGGGCGCTCTCCGCTCCAACCCCGGGCACTTCCCGCACCCGGCTGGTGTGTGTTTGGGGAGGGGGGCGTCCCGGGGACTCGGCTTTGCAAAAGGCTAAGGGGGCCCCCCTTGGCCGCCCGCGTCCGAACCTGGGCAGTTCCAGGGGGGACGGCAGCAGCGGGGGCCGCTCACCACCTCCACCGTAGCCCCGAGGGCCGAGGGGAATCGCCAGGTCCAGTGCGCTCCCGGCTCCTCCTCCCGGACGCACGGCGCGCGGCGGCTCCTGCCCTGCTGCAGGTGGGCTGGGCAGTTGGGGGGGGGGTCCGGCCGGGTCTCGTGTGCCGAGCCCACGAGTGCGGGGCTGGAAGCCGTCCCCGTGGGGACCACGCTGGAACCCTGCCCGGTCCCCCCTCTCCGTCCCCTTTCCTTCAGACAGGCAGCCCCGGGACCCACCTGAGCCCCGGGGCGTGTGGGTTTTTATCCTCCGACCCAGGATCTGCTCCCCCTCCTTAGTTTTAACTTCCTTACCCCCCTGTCCCCGATGAGTTCTGGGGAGCCGGGAAAAACTGCCTAAAAGCGCGTTAACGCGGAGTTAGGAAGTCATTTGGCACACGGGAGCCAGCGAGCCAGCGAGCGAACGCAGGCTTTGCTTCTGGATGCCATCAGCCGCGGTCCAGCAGGTGCAGGGCGGGAGAAGCCGGTTCAGCCTCCGAAGCGTGGTGTTGAGTTGACTTTAGAGAGAGAAGAGAGTGGACTCTTAACCAAACAGTGTCGAGGCTAATCACTGTTGCTCACCAGCGGCCAACTGTTTGAACAAGCGTCGATTCGCAGGTTCTTATCGCTTGTTGGCAACTTCCCGTCCCTGCACGCTGAAGTCAGTGTTTTGCCCAGAGCACAGCAGTGCCTGGCTGGCATCCCCCAGAAAGCACGTTCCGTTGTCAATGTCATGAGTCGCTCAGAGAGCCGAGAGTGAGTTAACTGTCAGGGGCAACCGTAAGCAGCGCGCCCTAAGTCATGCTCCCGTCCCGCCCGCCACCTCTGGCTCTGAAAGTCGTTTTCACGTCTCTTCGTGGTTCTTCCCCTCCCTCCCGCCCCCCATATTCCACAGTTAATTGCATTTATGGAATTTTTTTTCACACATTGGCCCCAGAATCCGTCAGAGCTGTTAGCGAGCTCATCTTCACACGGCTTCTTTGGGTGAATAACTCTCGGCTTTCCCAGGGTTACAGTCTGTGGGTGCATGACATCGACAGTAGATTTTCTTCCATTTAGTTGTTCTCAGCACGCCGAGGCAGCCATCCTTTTGCACCAGAAATGCACATACAAGTTAAAAAGCGAGAGAGTGGCTGGGGAGAAGGCTCGGCGGATAAGATGCTCGCGCTGCAGGCATGCAGGTCTAATTTCCAATGCTCAGGCATGGCAGTGTATGTCTGTAACCCTGCCAGTGAGAGGGGGAGGCAGGAGGATCCCCAGGGCTGGCTGGCCAGCCAGTCTAGCTAAGGCAACATTGGCCTCCTCTCTCTCTCTCTCTCTCTGTCTGTCTGTCTCTCTCTGCCTCTCTCTCTCTCTGTCTCTGCCTCTCTCTCTCTGTCTCTGCCTCTCTCTCTCTCTCTGTCTCTCTCTCTCTGTCTCTGCCTCTCTCTCTCTCTCTGTCTCTCTCTTTCTCTCTCTGTCTCTGCCTCTCTGTCTCTCTCTAACACACACACACACACACACACACACACACACACACACACACACACACACACACGAGAAATCTGGTTAATAGCAGTACCATGTCACGGCTTCGGTTGTGTGGGCAAAGTGTAGTCAGAGTTGAAGTAGCAGAACTCTAGGAAGAGTAGTCCCGTGTTGCCCGTGGCACAGGCGGTTCAGCCCTCTCGACCTGTCTAAAACAAACGTGTTCGGAGTGTGGGGGTTCATGGGTGGCTCTTCCTCCTAGGACATGCTTATGTACGCATTTTGCCAGCCTCCAGGGCCTGTGAGCTGTGTTTGCCTTGGGAACGCGGAGCTGCTGGGCAAGTCTCAGGTTCAGTGCTCACAGTAGAGCTTAGTGGTTGTCCCCCCTAGAGCCGTCCACCAGCTCAGTTCCCGAATGTTGGTGGCTTTTCCCGTGTCACTTGGTTTCTCCCGGGTAGCCACCCCACTGAGTGACACCCCCTGGGTAGGCGGCTGTGGTGAAGTCAGAGGTCTGCTCCTGAGTGAGTTTGCTCAGGAAGGGTGATGCATCTCGCTGCCTGTCCCTGGAGGTGGAGTGTGACTATCTCCCCCTGCACCTGTGCTTTTCCCGCGTTGTAGTTAGGAGACAAGGGCACTGCAGTGCTAACACTTAGCTCCCATTCCTTCAGCAGGTGTCTGTTGAGGTACCTCCTGAAGCCCTGTGTGGTTTATAGAGACGGTGAAGTATATATAATATATAATACAGAATGAAGGCGTTCAGCATCACGTAGGCTCATAAGGAAAGCGCTTTCCAATAGTAGTGTCGCGCGCAGTGAATCACGGCAGAGGTTGAAATTATGGTGCGGTGCTACTCGGTGTTTGGCGAAGAATCCAGTGTAAAGGAGCCAGGCATGCTACAGTTCATTCGGAAAACTGTAGTCCAGCTTTCTTTCCTGCCCCCAGCCATCTCGCCTAAATAATGACCCTGAGACTTATTAATTATGAAAGCGTGGCCTCTAAGCTTAGGCTTGCTTTCAACTAGCCCTCGTAAGTGAATTAACCCATATATATATATATTTTTATTCATCTACATGCTGCCGCATGGCTTCTGCCTCCTCTATCCCGTTCTGTGGGTCTGAATCATTCCCCGGCTGGCATCTCTCAAATGCCTAGGTTCATCTCGAGTTCCCTCTCTCTGCCCGGAAGTCCCGCCTATCTCTCCTGCTTAGCTACTGGCCATTTAGCTCTGTAGTACACCGACCAGAAGGCGCGTTAGGCCGAGATGCCTCTTTCCTGTGGAAGCAAATACTCCGAGACAAAATCATTTCGAAGGAAGGGGAGACCGCGTGCACAAAGCAGGCGCAGCAGGGTGTGCACAAAGTTAGGGAGGAGGCCTGTGCCCCCAGGGCTGTAAGGCAGGGGAAGGGCCTTTGAAACTGTGCTGGATTGGCTGAAAGTGCTTGTAAACAGTGCACAAAATCCTGTTTAAATGGTCTAGCCCCGTCACTCCAGTCGCCCACACCGACGGTCTACATGCAACCGTCATTTTACATGCAATCATCATTTTACATGCAATCATCATTTTACATGCAATCATCATTTTACATGCAATCATCATTTTATTAACGAGCGTTCTCATTGCTCATTCCCACCACAGTGTATGTTTGCTATGTGTGATACACCCGACAAACACTAATTACACGTCTAATGTATTCCAGGTCTAGTTCTCAAGGAATTCCGTGTGTGGGGGGGAGGAGGGGAGGGGGGCAAAGACAGCCGTGCTCAGTGCGGTGTGTTTCTTGCGGGGAGAGGCCTGGTTGTTAGGGTACTTGCAAGAAGCAGTGTTGGACCTGTTTTTATTTTTATTTTTTTTGAGAGGCGAGGGTTTTCCAGGCCCAGCAGTGGAGAGAGCTGAGCGTGGCGGCCGGGCAAGGACAAGAGGCAAGGGGCGTTGATGGTGGCTGGGGTGGGCAGTCCTGAGGCAAAGTCATCAGAGCTCAGTGGGAGGTGTGGCAGGAACCGGGGCCCCACAACCTGTAGATGTGTATTGTCTACAGAGCAAGAAGCAAAGGATGGTGTGTGTGTGTGTGTGTGTGTGTGTGTGTGTGTGTGTGTGTGTGTAGTGTGTGTGTCCAGGGAAGAAGCAGTTGATAGGTAGATGCTGCCAAGATTGAAAATGAAGTCTGGAAAGTGACCTTTCTGGAAGGACTGGGCACTCATGCACAGAACCTTCCCAGAATAGCTTGTCCAGTTGTCATGGAGATGAGTGAGATTATGGTGACCAAGGAGGGAGCGGGTTGGGAAGAGGTGACATGAGCTGGAGATGCGATTCATGAATGGATCACGCAGAGTGGGGTGGGGCGCTGCTCTTCCGAGATGGCCATGCGGGGCGCTTACATCTGGAGAGATTTCAGGGCACTGGTAACACCGTTGGAAGACACCAGTGGGGGAGCAGCTTGGAGAGTTAGGGATAGAAGAAAGGGCAGAATTCTGAGATGCAGGAGGAGGCGACAAGGTCTCTGTCGTGAGTCTGCTGCTCACTGGGGGAGGAAAATGGGAGGTGGTTTTCAGCGATGGAGCCGAGGTTCCCAAGCGCCGCCCGTCCCAGCAGAACATGGCCAGCTAACCCAGAGACCTTTATGGGTCCCATCTCCAGAGTTGGGCCGATTTGGGTACCTGAGATCCGGACTTCCTTCCCAGCTTTCTGAGATCTGTCTTTTAAAGGGTTTCCACAAGTGTCAGTCGAATAGACATTGAGGCAAGAGATCGGCCCACAGGAAAGGAGAGAGGACAGTCAGTCTTGTGGGGAGGTGCCCGAGGCCTGATTAAGATGGTAACACTGAGAACGGACGTGTCCTAGTTTCTATTGCTATGATAAACACAGCGTGACTAAGAGCAGCGTGGAGGAAAGGGTTTATTCATTTCACCTTACAGCTTGCAGTCCATATGGGTAGGCCTCAGGACAGGACCCTGTAGTAGAAACTGACGCAGAGACCTTGCAAGGGTGCTGCTTACTGGTTATACAGCTTCAGGGCCACCACCCACATTGGGTTGGGCTCTGCCCCAGCAATCATCAGTCAGGGAAGTGCCCTGCAGACACGCCCACAAGCTAATTTGATGGAGGCGAGTCCTCAGTCGAAACTCCCTCTTCCTAGATGCATCTAGGCTTATGTCACGTTGACAAAAAGTAACCGGTATAAACAGCGCAGGGAGGGATGGAAAGGTGTTGAGGCAGGCAGGGTGTATTAATCGGGCGTTTTTTACATGGGGTGTGGAGCGGGAGAGAAGGGATCCGAGGTGACAGGTTTATGGCTTGGGCAGCTGGTTAGATCACGGG